GTGGAGAAAAGCAACAGGGATATTCGAGACAAGAACTGAAGAAATAAGGAAGTTTTCAATAACATACCCAATTTATCGTTTGTGCCTATGTCTTTTTTTACATGTTTTTACTAAAAATGCTTTAGCATTTCGTTCGCATGAAAGCCTATCCTCAATTTTTGAGTCTCATTAGCTTGAATTTGTTCTAAAAATTCATTTGTACAACACCTGATAGCCAGCTGGCCTTCGAAGTGCTCCACCTCGTACTTTCAGCGGGAAATAACCATCGCGGATGCTTCCCTCACTGGTGTCGGAACTGTTCGAATCCATTGAACTTGTTTTGCCCTGCCTTCTCAGTTCTCTTTTTGGTGAATTCCGTACAGCAACACGCTCCTCGTTACTTGTTGATGCACCGCTTACAGATGGAATATTCACAACCTGCAAAAGAAATTCGTTTTCAAAAATTAGTCCTAAAATCCAGAATTTTAAACCAACAAGAACCCCTCTACTTCCCCATCCATTCCATATATTTCAAAAGCTTCCCCGCCTCTCCCCCTGCTGATTTACTGTAGTCTAGAAGCAGCAACAGTTTCTTCCCCCTAGCACTGGTTAAGGTACCTCATTGTGTTCTATAATGGTAATATTCCTGAAGAGATGGTGATGCTCAACTCACACGAAAAACATCTTAAAATAGTTAATACCTGAAAAATCCTTGTGTCCGGGAAATTGCAGAGTTAGTAATTTTTTTTTTGAAAACAGGACGAACTTCAAAAATAATGAAAACGAATCCTTCTTTCCACAAATACATATGAACTCGGGTCCATTGGCCGAGTGCATAATATTAGTTTGCTTGATTATTCCCACGAGAAATTAAGCTTCACCCCCTCCCCTGCCTTCCCTCCCCCGTCTTCCAATCATTCTCATTAAGCCTCAAACCTCTTTCACGCTTCACTCGTTTCACAGGATGTAAAAATTTTCAAAAAAAAAATCAAATTCTATGTGTAAATATCAAATTTCTAGTGTATATATCCAGTGCATTTCAGTGTATATTTTCAGTGTATTTCAAATATTTCAGTGTATGAAATATTTATATTTCATATATTCAAATATTCATATATTTCAGTATATACTCCCACCATATATTCAAATTTCCAGTACATATATATATCCAGTGTAAATATCAAACACTTACGGTAATTTCATGTGTGCTTTCGGTTTTGATAAAACGAAACAGTGTCAACTGGCCACTTTGTCCAGCAACGAGTAGTAGGCGTGAATCCACACAAAGTCTGATCAAACTGACCGCATGCGAGGCTTCACGTGATTCTGTGCCGCTATTTCGCTCAAAATGTCGTCCACTTTTTAACTTGTACAGAATTTGCAAATGTTCACCGGATGCTTGCCAAAATTTGATTGAACCATCTTCATG